GGATGGGTGTATGATTATGTGGAGGTCATCGTCACTCACCAGATGTTACAGTCACCTGGAAGAAGAGGAAGACCGAGCGAGATGTACGAAGTCAAGTTCAATAGCAAGAATGGGTTGACAGAGCTGTACTCCTTGGAATGGCACAGCAATGTTTACTGCAGACCAGCAACAACTTTGGGAGCAAAAGAAACACACATGACTACAGTGCACAGTTTTCTGCTCTGCGGTTTCCAGATTTTATGCCCGGAAATTAGCCTTGTCTTTTTGTCATTGTTTGTTAGAAACAGCTGAATTGTATTTCGACAATTTGGTGAACTTCTAATCTTGTAGTAGCTACAGTTCCACTTCTCTCAGTACAGGTTGCTCTGTTCTCAGAGAATTTCGAACTGAGGGAAGAGAATGTCGGGACCAGCCTGTGCTGGTTTCCAATTTTGTTTTGTTTTTGTTCTAATGTTTTTTCTTGAGTGCGGGTGCTGGGATTTGATCCCAGATCCCGTAGCTTCGTTTTGAACCCAGAGAGATTGTTCAGTAGAATAGGCAAGTCAGCGTGGTTCTAGGGTCTGTAGCTACATGGTTCTGTTTGGGTGGGGTGACGACCTACACAGTTCTATTCACGAGTTTGGTACAGAGTGGAATACTTTGTGCTGCACAATCTGGTATGCAGCACAATTTGAGCTTGCACCCTGGGTACTTACCTGGTATGCAGCCCAATTTGGGGTTGCACCCTGGGCACTTCCCTTTTGCAGTTTGCTTGAGTGAGCAACCGAGAGGCAACTTTGACTGTCGCACCATTGCTAGGCAAGAAGTGGGTGCAACTGCAGTTTTTGAGAGCTCTAAGACGGGACAAACATTTTGTAATCCTGTTTGTTGCATGTTGGCGAACGCCCAGGCGTGCAAGCTTTGAGGAAGGTTTCTTGCGTATGTGATCCAGAAGAATCGATTATTGATAGAGTGGCTAATCAATCAATTTATGATGATGATGATTGAAGTTGAAAGCAAGCTCGAGCCTTTTCCTGTGAAGTGGCTGATGTTATCCAGGGTATTTCACAGTTTCAAAGGGGGGAGAAAGAGGGAGAAAGCCACAGATGACATGTTTAGTGTTGAATCTATTCTTGAATTGTTTTAGTGGGGTCCTTTACTTGTGCTTGCTGGTTCTGTTTTTTGCTTCTCCTCGTATTCCTGTGCGCTACCTTGTTCTTATTTGCCGTCATTTCCTCTTATTCTTCTTTTCTTTCCTCCAATTTATTCTTGTCTTCTTTCTCTTTTCTTTTTTTTTTCCCTTTTTTCTGACACTTGCGTTTTCCTACTTTATCTCAATCCTTGCCTGCACCTGTCTCTGTCTGTCCGTCCACCTGTGGGATGCAGTTGGCAGGTCTTGGGATTAATCCACAGTTTTTCACTTTCACTCATGTTACTATGGAGTCGGAAAAATTCATCTGTGTAAGGGAGAATGCGCCGCAGAACAGTGTTGTGATTATAGACACGGCAATGCCATTGCAGCCCCTCAGAAGACCAATCACAGCAGATTCTGCTCTCATGAATCCCACGAGCCGTGTCATTGCTCTCAAAGGTAAGCCTCCAGATTGATGCGATGGCGCATCTCTGCCTCCTGATCGCTTTGCTGTAAGAGCTCATCAAACGAAGGTTTCACCTCAGTTCAACTGTGTAGATTTTCTGCTGCTGTAGTGAAAATTATGACATGTGTTGGAACCATGGGTACACCTCTGGATTTTATTGGTACAACGTGTAATCTCTTAGCCTTTTGTTAGTGGATTGTGCCGACCTAAGTCTCTCCGATCCATGAACTAGTCATTGGCCTCTACCCTATATGCATTTCTTCATTCCTTCCTCCCTCTTTTTCTCCCTCCCTTCCTCCCTTCCTACCTTCTTCCTTCTGCCCGTCTCTAGACTTCAATGCCCTCTTGTTGTTCGAATGTCTGATCTCTTCCGCTCTTCTCCCTCTTTTTCTCGTTTCTCTTTTCTTTCAGTATTTACTCTCATGTGCCTACGTAGTGGTGGGTGCCACAAGATCTTTTCGATATTTTCTTTCCTCTCATGTTCCCACTTTTTTCTGTCTTCATTTTTGTGTTTCTTGATGTGGCTGTAAGAATGCTTGCACATGTATATTCTCATGCCTTGATTGCTACAGTACATACTTGTTTGTACATGAAGGAACTATGAGGCTGATACACATTTGAAAATAACGTTTCCCCTTCATTTCAGTGCCTTTTTATCGTCTTTTCAGTTTGTTGGGGGCTAGTATGCACTCGTTTTGGAGCAGGTCAGGTGGGATTGCACGTAACACTATCAAGGTGTTGTCGGCCTAACTAGATTTCAGCCGACTGTGGGTGCTTGGCCTCTCGATGATCTGCTGCTCAAATGGTTTCTTATGAAGTTTCAATTGGTCCTACCGGACCACGGCCCAGATAGACAAAACCATGTAACAAATCTGCCATCTGGGCCGTCGGGTACTACCAGACCGACGGCCTGGATAGATGCAGTCTTACGATCTTAGGACCGCGCCGAGATCCAGGCCGTTGGTCCGGACCGACGGCTCAGATAGACGCGCCGAGTGCCATGGGGTACTACTGGAGAATAGGAAGACGGGCCAGCCCAAATTTCCCGTTGGACTGGCCGTTGTCGTGCAGAGCTCTCGGTCCGTTGTACTCGGTGTTGTCGTGCTTCTGCTGTTGTCGTGAATCTCTCTCTCTCTCTCTCTCTCTCTCTCTCTCTCTCTCTTGCTCGACTGTGGTTGGCCGTTGGTGCTGTAAGCTGTCTCTCTCTCTCTCTGTCTCTCTCTCGCTCGCTCGACTGTGGTTGGCCGTTGGTGCTGTAAGCTGTGGCTCTCTCTCGCTCGCTCGCCTGTGTTTGGCCGTGGTTTGTGGTTGGCCGTTCGGAGTTCTGCATCAACGACGCCTGAACGCCGGTCGAAGATGGCAGACACAGGTCAGTACACTTCTCCCTGCTTCCTCCGCCGCCGTCCGCTCTCCACCGCTCCTACTCCGCGTGTCCTGTGATCTCTTCCACTCTCCGCTCTTCTGCCGCCCATCCCCCCTTCTGCTTTCCCTCAGAGAGAGAGAGAGAGAGAGTGATCCCAAACTAACTACCCCGCCCCCCAAACCGACAACGACGATGACGATCAAGTGTAGTATTATCTGTTGCGATCAGTTTGATATCTGACCCGCGGACCGTCGGGAGTTCTTAAAAATAAAAATAAAAATGGACAAACGGCATGTGCACCAGAGAGAGAGAGAGAGAGAGAGAGAGAGAGAGACCCCAAACTAACTTCACCCCCCCCCAAAACGACGACGACATGACGATCAAGTGTAGTATATGTTCCGATCAGTTTGATATCTGAACCGTGGATCATTGGGAGTGCACGCGCGCAGCAGAGCAACACACACACACACACACA